TTTTCTCTTCAGAGATCTGTCTCTTCTGTGTTCCGAGACTGCTGCTCGCTTCGTATGACTCTTCTCTGGTTCGGAGATGAACTATTTTTCCTGCACAATTTACTGCTACTACCGTTTTTGGTCTTTTTCTTTGTCCCTTTTTTGCTAAATTAGCAATGATGTCCTCGTATTAACTTTTCTGCACCAAATCTGATTTGGTCAAAGACAAGCCATCCACGTTAGAGTTCGGAGATTTACAAGGAAAATCTTTTTGCTATTACTACCAATACCACAAATGGAAAACGCAAAAAAGGATAAAGGAAAGGAGTATGGGGTGTGCCATTGTGGTCTTCAATTTGAGTATGAGTTTTGCAACTTAAAGGCATAAAACACAAAATAAGCAGATAAAGCAAATGCATTAGTCGATTAGACTAGCAATACCCTTAGTAATATGTATAATCCGATCCGAAAATCCGAAATATTTATCCGATCCGAACTTTAAAATCTGATCCGATCCGATATTAATTCGGATCGGATTCGGAGTGCATTTTATAGAATCTGAAATCCGAAATTTCAATCTGAAATATGCTAAATCCAATCCAATCCGATCCATGCACAACCCTAGTTCAAATAGGTGACATTTTGATAGAAGTCAGTAGATAAATATAACCATTTATTTGCCAATATTAATGTAAATGTCGGAAAATTTCCGACACCAAAATTTATGACATTTGATATAAATGTCAAATAAATGTCGGTAAATAATTTTGTGATATTTATGTGACTCAACACGACATTTAAAAAATACCGTCGTAGACCTATTTTCTTGTAGTGTTTAAAGACTTATTTTTGTTTATTAATTTTAAAGATTTAATTATTTGTTCTTTAACGAATTTATTTTTGTTGATTCAAATTTTAATAATAGCTCAGCCCAAGTTTTAAATATTTAAATGTAATTATAATTTTTATCCAATAAGAATTCTATGTTAAGAGTAACAAGAAAATCGTTATGACATATCACTTTGGGAATGTTTATATTAGTACAACCATTGATGTTATTAAATCTTATCAACAATTCTCTTTAATTTATTTCATATTCTCAATATTAAATATTTTTTTAGTTAAGCTTGTGGCTCGAATTTCCTTTCTTATATCCATCTCATTCCCAAAAACATTAAGATTAGGGCTGGAATTACCTGCCGATGTTTGAATCCCTGTTCCAGTAGGATTAGTAGGTAATGCATCTTCTTTCCCGTTTGAATTTACTACTTTTTGCCTTGGTACTTGATCCTTCTGCTCCACCACTATCATAACATTATTATTGACAATCCCAGCACCACTAGGATTAGGTCTTTCCTCAAGAGTTCTATTTTGAATCCTCTTCTCCTTAGGACTAGTATTAAATTTTCCAGCTGCCCTAGGAGTAGATTTGCCTGCTTCCTTTGAATTTGCATCCTCTTATTGATCATGCACTACTAGTGCATTATTATCCTCTTCAAATTGGCTAATATATCAAAAGCATTCTTGGTTACAAGTACCTCCTTCTCCTTCCCGGTTGACTTGTTTTGCTTAATTACCGGAACTTCCTCAATTATGTACCCTCTTTTGTCTCTTTGATACCTACTCTTCCTTCTTTACATCCATTCTTGTCTAGCCTGATTAGAAATAGGTTTTCCAAATACTTTGCCACTTGTTAACACTTTGGTTGAAGTTGCTGCTATGCCAACTACATCCTCTTATTTCCCTTTGTCATTGCCTTGTTCCTCAAACTGCCTCAGCTCAGGATTAATAACCCAACATTCAGCTTCTTTGTGACCTTGTTTCTTACATGTTTTACAGTATTTAGGCATGTAATTATACCTAATCTTGATCCACTTGGATTCTTCTGGCCCAGTCTCATCCTCCTCCTCTACTATCTTGATTCTTTGAGGAAAAGTTGAAAGCAAATTCACCTCAACCTTCACCTTGGCACAACTTGGTCGAGTACCATTCTGAGTAACCAAATCCACATATAATAGCCTTCCTACTGCCCTTGCCAATGAAAAAATAAACTCCTTACCAAAGAAGTTTGAAGTTAAATCTTGAAAAGAAATGCAGGCGATAGTTACATGTGTCTCTTCATCAGTTTTCCACCATGGATTCTATTTAGTACATCTCATCTACCACATCTCACCTTGTATCTTCAAATAAAAAGGTGGCTTTGATAACAAGTAAATATAATTCTCCATTAATGAAAGCTTAATTAACACATGACTATCCTCGATTAAACTAACTGAGCAAGGACCTTTTAACTCACATTGTATAGGGATAACTTTACGTAGTTATTGAATAACAAGCTTACCATACGAGAATTTGCCCAGGACTACCAGGTGCAATCCTTGTTGAGCAATAGATTGACGAACCTCCTGTTTTTTTTATCTCACGATTGGTTCCCCATGAAGATATTCAATTGGTTTTAGGGCTACGATAGGCTGCGATTGCATGAGAGCATTTAATGTCGCTGGTTGTAATGATTTGGCGTAGTTCTGGATTGGATTAGGGCTGGTAATTGTTGTTTGGGGCTGTGGGGATGCTAGGGATGACTAACCAGCCTTAGGATGAGGCTGGCCAGTAGCCGCAGAAGCCATTAAAGGCCCGCGAGAGCTTCGTGCGTAAGTCGTCGCAATCGCCAGAGCCTCACTCTCCTCACCCGTTGGGGTTTTTGGTTTATTAATCCTTATTTTCCTTTTTATGATTTTTTTTGGTAATAAGATGTGAATATATTACCAGACAACCACCCATCAATTTACACACAGAGAGCACTCAATACTATTATAGCACCAGTAATTGAGCCGCAAACACCTCTCAAAATACCCAACTACTAGCTACATATCCTATCAATTAGAAATCTAGTTTTCCTCGCTTCTTTAGTTCCCCTCAACATATAAACTCTCTCTTTTATTACACTTTGTATTTGTTGTAAAATAAAACTATTATTTACATTTTGTCCTCTAAAGTGTCTCCAATTTCGTGCTTGCCATATTTGGTAGATTCATGCTCCATATATCGCTGCCATGATCTTTTTCTTAAAGAGTCTCCAATGTTTTCTATTGATGTTGTGCATGGTATCTGCCACCTCTAAAAGTCGTATACTGAGACCACTCCATTGATTTACCATTGTCCATAGCTGCACAAACCAGGTACATTCATAAAATAAATGTACTGCATTCTCAATACTGCCTTCATCACACATTTCACATATTGTGTTGTCGCAGTGTATTCCCATATCTCGCAATCTATCTTTTGTCATAAGCCTCCCTTGCAAAGCAAGCCACACTATGAACCTGTATTTTTGGAGCATTACTTTGCTCCACACTAGCCCAGCTGCTTGTAACTTAGGAGAATATCCTATTATGTTCAAGTACCCTTTGGTTATAGAGTAGTGCCCATTAACAGTTAGGCAATACCTTCTATTATGGTACCAATTTGTCATACCCAGTTTTAGCTTGTTGAGTCATCTTCAGTACCAGTTATTGTCCGATGGTGCCTGATGCTCCCAAAAATTTATACCATTGTTCATATATATACCATGCACCCACTTCACCATAGGTTGTCCGCTTTCTCCATTATCATCCACACCAATGTTTTCACTGTTGCTTCAAATTCCTATACCCTTTAACATTCAAACCCCCTTGTGTTTTTGGTTTACAGATTTTATCCCAAGCAACTAAAGAAACCTTCTTCTGTTCTGCAGTACTTCCCATAGAAACTCTCTACACTTCTTATCGACCTCTTTTAGCACACTCTGTGAGAGGATGAATATTACTCCCAAGAAATTATGTAATGAAAACAACACATAGTTTATGACTAGTAATTTACCTGCATAAGATAGCTGAATATGTTCTAATTTTCTCAGTAATCTTCATAGTCAGTTGATGACATTTCATCTTGTTCTACTTCTTAGGCGAAAGTGGTAATCCCAAGTATCGTATTGGGAATGTTCCTATTGCAAATCCAGTCATCTCTATTATCTTCTCCTTCATTTCTGCATCCACCCCAACCACAAACAGACTAGATTTATCCACATTTGCTATCAAGCCAGTCACCTCTGAAAATTATTTTAATGCTTTCATAACTCTGTTAACAGAGCTAATATTCCCTTAGCAAAAAATTATTAGATCGTCATAAAATATTAAATGAGTCAGCTTTTGCCTTTTACACAGGATGAAGTCAAAAATTTGTCAATTGAATCATTCTTCCATAATTCTGGATAATTAGTCCCTAACCATTACAAACAGGAGGGGTGACATCGGATCACTTTGCCTCAATTCCCTTCTCCTAGTAAAATAACCATATCCCTCCCCATTCACTTTGAAGAAAAGGATGTAGAAAAGACACATGCCATTACCAAATGAATGCAGCTTGCTAGGAGCCCATTGCCTTTCAGCATCTCCTCTATAAACTCTCAGCGCACCATATCATACCTTTTCATGGTTTAGGAGTCCTTATTTTTCCTTCTTTTTTTTCCCAGTTTTAGGAGTCCTTTATCAAGATTTAGGAGTATTTCTTTTAAATAACAAAATAGTTATTCAATTAAATTTTTTATATTTAAAGCTTTGATATCAACTAATATTTTGTTATCAAATCATGCTTGGAAGTAAGAACAAATATCTAGCTTTCACAGACATAGTAATATCAAAAGTTTATTAAATTTAATTTTTTAAAATTCGAGCCACAAGCTTAACTAAAAAAATATTTAATATTGAGAATATGAAATACAAGAAACTTGATCTTTAGCGACCACTTTTTAACGAAAGGACATGAATCTGGTCGTTATAAGTGTACTAATCACGACTAATATTTTCTCCGGTCGTTAAAGTCAATTTTTAGTTTAGCATTAACGAGGAAAAAATATTTGCTCCTTTAAAAGTATAATATTCGGCTGTAAAACTAAATTAATCAACAAATCATTAAGGCGCTACTTTTTCCCTCTCTTTTATTTTTCCCAACCCCATCCTCCACCACCCCCTCCCCAAATAAAGGAAAAAGAAACAGAAAAAAGAACCCTAAGCCATTCTCTCTGTTTTCGAAGAGTAAATTATGCGGTTCAAACTGATTTGCTCATCACCTGTGACTGATAAAAAATCGTTCTACAATTTTCTTCTCTTTCTATTCAAGGTAAGTCTCTGCCAAATCCCTAAACCTGCAGTAGAAACTATGGAGTGTGAAATTGGGTATTTTTTTGCAGTTTCGGTTATCTATTTTTTGATCGTATTTATTATCTTTTACAGAAACTATGATGGTTTAGTAATCTACTTTTGAGTATTATAATGGAAGTTCCTGCGATGGTTTGGCAATCTAACAGTTCTTTCGATATTATTTTACTTTTCTGTTGTTGGTTATTTGTATTCAATAGTCTCCTCGAACCCTAATTTGTGTTTGGCATTGTCCTATTCATATTTTTTCTCAATTCTCGCAATTGCATAGTCTGTATCTATTTATGCCATAACATCTGATCCATTACCCCATGACACATCTGGAATCAATTGCCTCGTCAGCGGTATTTTTATTTAAAATGCGAATGCCTTTCTTAAAATAGGAAAAAAAAGATTTCTGGAAATTGAATTGTGTATGTGTTTGCCTCAATAAATCTATATTCCTTTATTCTCTAGGTAAAAGTCGCCATTAAAGTGAAAGAATCAGTAATCATTTGTTTCACTTCATCTGGAAGGGCATCAAGGTAGAGTTTGTCATTATTACTATATTTCTTGGGATATTGATTCTCTTTCTTTATAAGAGTTGTAATTTATGCTCATGTAAACAGATTGATAGCTAAATATAGGCCAGCAATGCCAGTATTGTCTGTTGTAATTCCTCGACTCAAGATAAATCAACTGAAGTGGAGTTCTAGCGGTGCATTTGAGGTACAACCTAGGGCTCAAAGTTTTTTTTAACTATCCAATCCAGCCCATCGACCGATAGCCTGTTAAATGCATTAGTAGAGATTGAGTATTAAACTATTGCACCTTTGTTTACTTGATATTTTTCGGTTTCCTATTTAGATTTGTCGTTTGATTAAGTAGTTCGATTGATCTATTCATTTAAACTGATATTATGCCATCCGTTGTTCGACTCCACTATAAATTACTTTAGTAATAATACTGAAGTTTGTGCTCCATTTTTTTTGTATCGACGTGATTATTCTATTTTTTTCCTTTCTTAACGATTGTGGAAGAGTTTTTTGAAATTATTTTTAATTTTGTGTTTCAATTTGTCATTTTTCTTGTTTATAGCGAGTCTTATGGTAAACCTATTTGATGTAATTGCAGTATCTGACAGCTGAAATGTTAACATATACATATCCTGTTGTATTTGACTTATTTATTTTGATCTATAATTTTCATTCTTCAATTTTATTATATGAAAATATCATAGTGACAAAAATGTTTGAAATTGCAATGATTAGCTTTTGAAGCGTCTATACTATTTGTCGATCACATCTTTCCAGATTCACTACCAATGTAGTGATCTACTACTGTCTCCTTGTTCTTTTACTTTATTTCATTTGCTTATTTTTTTTCCTCGTTAATTTTTTTTTTTTTACGTAATCTTGTGTAGCTTTTTATTGACAATGAAGTTGACAAATCTTGTATTTAATTTCGTCATATTCAGGCAAGGCAATCTCTTATTGTCCGGGTTCTTTTCCCAATGCTGGCTGATCCTCGACATCTTGTACGTCATCTCATCACTCCCCATTCACTTTGAAGAAAAGGATGTAGAAAAGATACATGCCATTACCAAATGAATGCAGCTTGCTAGGAACCCATTGCCTTTTAGCATCTCCTCTATAAACTCTCAACGCACCATATCATACCTTTTCATGGTTTAGGAGTCCTTATTTTTCCTTTTTTTTTTCCAGTTTTAGGAGTCCTTTATCAAGATTTAGGAGTATTTCTTTTAAATAACAAAATAGTTATTCAATTAATTTTTTTATATTTAAAGCTTTGATATCAACTAATATTTTGTTATTAAATCATGCTTGGAAGTAAGAACAAATATCTAGCTTTCACAGACATAGTAATATCAAAAGTTTATCAATTTTAATTTTTTTAAGAGTTCACAAGGGTCTCAATTGGACCCTGAGAAATGCTCACACTAGGGAGGCCGATAATAGAACCTAGATCGCCTTAGCTTTCAGCCGGCTAGGAATGAAGAGTTCAAAATATCATGAGTAGCAATTAAGGAGAGTGGATAGTGATAAAGGGATAAAAGTTAGGTGATACAAAGCATCTAATCAAGCGGATCATAAGACTTTGTTCAGTAGAACTTCAACATTTAGCAAAGTAGCACATAACAAACACATATTGGGAGAGTTAGGGGGAGGAACAGGTTTGCAAAGTTTGACATAAATTAACACTAACAGGTTGAGACTTAAGAAGTCCAATTTAGGCTAAGTATGCATCTTAGCATCATAAGACAAATATGTTAATTCTCATCAGAAGGCAAGGAAACATTCCTACCAGACTAGATACCAGTGTGCTGGACCGCACGTGGAGACTTCAAGGTATATCTGCCAGCGTCCGCAGACCTTGGAGTCCCCTTCTATCCTTATTATGTTATTTTCTTATTCTCTTTAGACTCTGATGTATAGAAACACTTAATATTTTCTTTAGAAGCTTATGAATTATTTTCTACCGGGTTTTGAGAGTTATAATTATGAATTTGCAGTTTTATATTTATATATATTATGTGTTGAGATTGGAGTTCAGTTTATTATTCATTTATTCTGCAAATTGTTAGGCTTACCTAGTCTTAGATACTAGGTGCTATCACGATATCGTACGGAGGGAAATTGGGCCCGTGACAAGTTGGTATCAGAGCTCTAGGTTCATAGGTGTTATAAGTCACAAGCAGGTTTAGTAGAGTCTCGCTGATCGGTACGAAGACGTCTGTACTTATGTTCGGGAGGCGATGCAACCGTTAGGAATAGTTTCACTTTATTTGATTCTTTATCGTGCGAGATTTTGACTTCAAACTCTAAACTTGTGTCTTTCTATTCTCTCAAGATGGTGAGGACACATACAGCTGGATCGGATGACCATACACCCGTACACCCTGCTAGAGCTGCGAGAGGTCGGGGCCGGGGTAAAGGCCGAGGACGTCTACGTGGTGTGTCCAGAGCACCCGCACGAGATACTATAGATGAGCCACCAGCTCCAGTTGGAGGGCAGGCACCTGAGATGCCTGTTACTGCACCAACACCTTGGCTCAGGCAGGATTGATACATCTTCCTCCTGCCATATCTCAGGCCGGGGGAGGAGCACAGACTCCCGTTGCCGGTACCCTAGAGCATCGGGGGAGGAGCACAGACTCCCATCGCCGGTACCCTAGAGCAGCGGGTTCGGGTAGACCATGATCTAGAGATCATACAGATGCAGCTGGTAGCTCTAGTTCAACCCGAGGTTAGGGCAGTAGTTTCTAAGGCGGAGAAGATCAGACTCGAGAGGTATAAGAAGTACCACCCTCCTACTTTTAGTGGCTTGGCGTCAGAGGATGCCCAGGGTTTTCTTGAGGAGTGCCACCGTATCCTCCATGCTATGGGTGTTGCAGAGACTAGTGGGGTTTCTTTCACTGTGTTCTAACTTAGAGGAGTGCCTATCAGTGGTGGCGCGCATACGAGTTGGATAGTCCGGCTAAGGCAGCTTCACTAACTTGGACTCAGTTCTCAGATATGTTCTTGAGAGAGTACGTTCCCCAGAGGCTCAGAGATGCTTGGCATGCAGAGTTTGAGCAGTTACGCCAAGGTTCTATGACCGTGTCAGAGTATGCGGTTCGATTAAGTGATTTGGCCAGACATGCACCGACCTTGGTTGCTACTGTTTGAGAGCGGGTTCATCAGTTTATTGAGGGGCTTAACCCCAGCATCAGATTGAGTATGGCTCAAGAGTTGGAGATGGATATTGGGTATCAGAAGGTAGTGGGGATTTCTAGGAGGTTAGAGGGCATGCTGACTCGGGATTGAGGAGAGAGAGACCAAGAGGTCTAGAGAGTTTGGCACTTATAGTGGTACTCGTTCCCCAGCGACAACTCATCAGGGCAGGGGATATATGTGTCGCCATGTTCAGCACTTCCAGCCGCCAGCGGTGCTCCGGCCATACTAGGCCCAGGGTCCTTATTATGTACCGCCAGTATCTAGTGTGCCTCCTGTACGGGGTGCTTTCAGTGGTCAATCCAGTCGATCAGGTTCGAGCCAGTAGATGCAGCCACGTCCTCTGAAAGCATTTTTTGAGTGTGGTGACACTCTTCATTTGGTGAGGCATTGCTCCAAATTCAGGAGGGGTGCACCTCCACAGATATCTCAGGTACCGCGTGCTCCACCGGGTCCTCAGGCTATCATTACAGCACCAACTACCACTCCACTTGCACCACCAGCTAGGGGTGGAAGTCAGACAGGTAGAGGTCGCCTTAGAGGGGGAGGCCATGCCTGATATTATGCCCTTCATGCTAGGACGGAGGTAGTTGCATCAGATTCTGTTATCACATGTACTGTTTCGGTTTGTCATAGAGATGCATCAGTCTTATTTGATCCAGACTCCACTTATTCATATGTGTCATCTTATTTTGCTTCATATTTGGGTGTATCCCGTGTTCTCTGAGTTCATCTGTTGATTGGGTTACTAGAATATTTGGAATTGCACGTAAAGATATAAATGTTACTACTAATTATTCATGTCAAGAGATACCATCGTAAACTGTAGATGATAATTCAAGGGGAATTGAAGCTATTGAAGTTACAAGTGATAGAATAACATCATGGGGGGAGGAAGTAGAGGAGCAAGAGCTTAACAATGATACTAACATGAATGCCAACAATAATGCCCTAGATGGCAGTCAAAGAGCTAAGAAACAAGGTGGTATTGTAGAATTGTCTATAGTAAACCCTAATACGCAAGAAATTAGGCTTGTGGATTTACAAACACCCACAAGGCAACATGAAACAGGGTCAATTGGAGCAGGTAATGGTTCACCTAAGGATGCTAGAACATCTGAGAATGCTGATAGAGAAGCTGCAAGGAAAGAGTTAGGTAATGGAACAGTAAACCATAGGTTACATGGGCTTGCTTATTCACAAACTATTGATCATGCAATGGATAGAGAAGGGGTTGGACCTATTCAAAACACTCATACAAAGTTCTTAGATGATACAGCGAGGCCAGGGCATCAAATAGCTGCAGCTAAGGTACCTGATCTCAATGGAACAATGATTTCTGCATCTAGAGCTACAGTGAACCCTAGTCTAGGGTCTGTTTATGAACTCCAATTCAGGGCCATTCAGGAGGCTATTGATGACAAGAAGCATAATAATCGATTGGTAGAGGCTACAACTAAGGATCAGATGGGGCAAGAATTGGTTCCAAAGGATACAGGAGGCATGGAGCCACTTCCAATGGCTTGTGCTTCAGAAACTGGGCAGCCTTTACAAATTCAACTTAATGTACCATTGAAGAATCCAATCCATTTATTACATGACATTGTCACACAAAATGTCCCACCACTGGACATGCATAATGTCATTTTGGATCAGATGCAATGGGAGGAAGAAGGAGATGATAAATTCACAGGCAATTTTAAGGCAATTGCTAAGGAAGCTGACTTGTCACCTAGAGCTCAAGCTAGAAGTGGGAGGAAAGGCAAGAAATAACAGAATAAAGAAGCTCTACAACCTATAAGAACCTTTCCCAAGAGGGCAGCCTCACAAACTAGATAATGATCAAGGCATTGATATGAAACATAAGGTCTGTAAATACACATTAGGCCTTTCAGAGGATGATTAACATATAAAGAGAACATGGTTCTTTGTCATTGCTCTTATGGATAGAATTCAAGGCATATTCAGAGGTATATGAGAAGGCTCAACATGGAAGCTGCTTTATCAAATATAAATAAGAAGATTTGGTTGTTTATTAATATTGCAGTAGTGTGGGAATTGGTAATGGAGACTGAGCAACAAATCACAATCAAAATGTATCATCAGGACATTGGCCAGTACATCATGTGTACATTTGTTTATGCTAAGTGTTCTACCTTAGAGAGACTAGAACTATGAGATAACATATACTACTTGGAAAGTGATATGGTGATGCCATGGCTGGTAGGTGGTGATTTCAATGTAGTTATGTATGAAGGTGAGAAGATTGGTGGACTACCAGTGCATCCTCCTGAATATGATGATTTTGCATTTTGTGTTAACTCAAGTGGACTATTTGACCTAGGGTATAAAGGCAGTCCTTTCACTTGGGGGAATGGGAGCCCTAATATTGAATGTATATTCAAAAGGCTAGACAAGATCTTAGTAAACTTACCATTTCAAAACGTTCTCCCTACCATTGAAGTGGAACATCTAATTAGAACAAGATCTGATCATGCTCCTCTACTTCTGAGTTGTAGTGAGCAAGCATCTCAATTTGTCAATCCATTCAAGTTTTTGAATTTCTGAACTAAGCATGAAATATTCAAGGAGGTTGTGAGGCAGAACTGGGTGGCAGACTTCATAGGAGATCATTTCCTTATGTTTAAACAAAAGCTGAAGAAGATGAAGATTGCTTTGTCAACATGGAGCAAGGTGACATATGGTGACATTTCCAAGCAGCTAGCAACCAGGGAAGACATAGTGAGGGTGAAAGCGATGCTATTTGAGGAGGAACCTACAATGGAGAATAGAATTGTATTGCAAAAGGCTCAAGCTGAATTGAAAAAGTACCTTAGCATTAAAGAACAATATTGGAAGCAAAAGGCTAGAATGGCATGGTTTACTGAAGGAGACAGGAACACTAGGTTTTTTCATAATCATGTCAATGGCAAGAGGCATAAACTACAACTGAAAAGGATTCAAAATGCTGATAGTGACTGGATTGAAAACCATAAAGAGATGGCTACGACTGCTACTGAATTTTATGAAAAGCAGTTCTCACAAGAAGAGGAGCCTACTGATTTCTCAATGCTCTCAAATGTTCCTGCTATGGTGATAGTCAACCAAAATCTGGAGTTGAGCAGTTATCCTACTATTGATGAAGTTAAACAAGCTGTTTTTACACTTAGTGGGGATAGTGGTAGTGGTCCTGATAGATTCACTTGCATGTTTTATCAGGAATGTTGGGACATCATTGGTCAGGATATTCACTTGATGGTGTTGCACTTCTATGGGGGATTAGCTTTGTCTAAATCTATCACACATACTAATTTGGTGCTACTGCCAAAGAAGCCACAGGTTCAAACCTTCTCAAATTTAAGGCCTATAAGCTTGAGCAATTTCATCAACAAGGTGATGTCTAGAGTACTTCATGATAGACTGGAACACTTCTTACCTACACTGATTTCATCCAATCAATCAGGCTTTGTGAAGGCTAGAAGTATCTTTGAAAACATCCTCCTAACACAAGAGATAGTGACTGGCATTAGATTGAGAGCTAAACCTACAAATATGGTGATTAAATTGGATATGACCAAGGCATATGATATGGTATTTTGGAAGTTCTTACTTCATGTATCGAGGAAGATAGGGTTTTCTAAACACTTCATGAACATGATTTGGAATCTCTTGTCCAACAATTGGTATTATGTATTGGTGAATGGGCAGTCTACTGGATTCTTCAAGTCCAGTAGAGGGGGTGAAACAATGAGATCAATTGTCTCATGCCTTATTCATTCTTTCAGCAGATGTGTTATCTAGGTCAATAAACAAGTTATTTGATGACAAATCTTTCGTAGGTTTTGGGATGCCAAAGTAGACTGATCCACTGAATCACCTGGCCTATACTGATGATGCCATTATATTTGCATCAACCCATGCTGCATCATTGAAGAAGATCATGGAAGTTTTGAGTGGCTATGAAAAGGTGTCTGGGCAGTTGATCAACAAGACTAATAGCTCGTATTATATGTATGCTAGGGTGGCTAATTCATTGGTACATTCATTGGAGGATATCACAGGCTTCTCAAAAGGTGCATTTTCTTTCACATACCTAGGATGCCCTATATTTTATACTAGAAGAAGAAAGGATTATTATGAGGATCTTATTAAGAAGGTGGAGGCCAAATTGCACTCATGGAAGGGTAAGTTACTATCCTTTGGGGGAAAGGCAACCTTGATCAGCAGTGTCCACCTAGGAACATTGTAGAACATTTGCATAAGTTATTTTCTAGGTTCTTCTGGAGTACAAAGGAGGAAGGAAGAAGCATACATTGGTCTTCATGGAAGAATTTGTGCTTACCAAAAGAAGAAGGAGGCTTAGGGTCCAGGTCATTGTTTGATATTTCTAAAGCACTATTTTGCAAAGCTATGGTAGAGGTTTAGAACCACAAAATTTTTTTGGTCAAATTTCATGTGGAATAAGTAGTGCAAAAAAGAGTTGTCCTTAGCGGTACAGTTTAGGGAAAGATCACATATATGGAGACAAATGCTTAATGCTAGACAAGAAGTGGATCATGAAATATGGTGGGAGATGAAGCATGGTACCACTAATGTTTGGCATGAAAATTGGACAGAATTAGGGGCATTGTATCATCTAGTGCCTCTCGATCATCACATTGATAAGGAACTACAAAAAGTGGCTGAACTGAGGCAAGGAGATGGATGTAATGAGCAGCTAATTGATCAAGTATTCCCAGAAGACATTGATGATCACATCAAGCAACAAATGCAGTTTGAAAGTAATGAGGGATACTGAGATACACTTTGGTGGAAACCTATTTCTTCTGGCAAGTTTACTGTGAGCAGTGTTTGGCACTTGGTGAGGCATAGGAAAAACCCTAATCCAGAATTCAAGAACATGTGGACTAAGGGCCTACCATTCAAGATATCATTCTTCTTATGGAGATTGTGGGGGGNTTTATGAATAACTTTTTTGAAGAACAATTTTACTTACACTTAATATTTTCTATAAATTACATTAATACTCTGATTATGTGGTAAATTCATGTAGGACTAATACTAAAAACTACTAAATATATAGGCAAATTCTACTCTCTTTTTAAAATTTTGTCTTCTTTATTCAATCTATATTATTATAAAAGAATATATATATATATATATATATATATATATATATATATATATATATATATATATGTCCAGGTGTTGTTGCTGCCAATACCCTCAGGAAGAGTCATTTGATCATATGTTCTTGACAGGAACTACAACTACTAGGGTTTGGAGAATATTTCTAGGTGCAGCTGGGATTACTGTTCCATTGGTACAAGTAAAGCAGGTAATTACGGCGTAGTGGAATACTACTTGTTATCCAAAATTGAAACCCCTATAGCATACATATCCAGCAATTATAACATGAAAATTATGGAAGATGAGAAACACCAACAGGAATGGAGGATCAGTATCAGTTCATAGGGTATTATGGAAGATGAGAAACACCAACAGGATGAGAACACTACGTTTCTTGGCAAAGACTAGGTATAATTGGCTGCCTCACATGCCTTTTCTTTGGCTAGATATAATCAGATACTTGGAGAAGTACAAGCTTATTATTGTGACCAAAAGAGTAGTATGGCAACTTCCATACAATGGTTGGTACAAGTTCAATACAGATGGAGATTCACGAGGTAATCCTGGTCCTAGCTCTACAAGTTTTTGTGTGAGAGACAGTGTAGGAGATTTGGTGTATGCTAGGGCACATCAACTGGAGGAAACTACTAATATAGTGGTCGAGGCTAGGGCAATTAGAGATGGGTTACATTACTGTGTGGAGCATGATTTACATCCTCTTATACTAGAAAATGATTCACTTCGGATGAAAAAGATCATAGATGGAGAATGTGATCCTCCATGGTGCATTGTGGCTGGGGTTAGGAGAATTAAGGAGATGAATGAATAATTCAATGTCATCTTCCAGTATGTGTTAAGAGAGGGCAACATTGTGGCAGATGTTTTAGCTAACCTTGTGTTTTCTTTTGCATGTACAATTCAATTTCACTCTTTCTTTGAATTTTTTAGTGTAGGGAGGAGACTAATCAACCTTGATAAATCACTAATATTAGGGTTAGGGTTACCAAAAGGAAACCTCCTGACTGATGAGTATACTGTCATTGAATCTGCCTATCTTTGCTTTGTATTATGTTGTTATATTTTGTATAGTGTTAGAGTGCTTACCAGTGGTATTAGCATGTTATCATGTTTATTCTGAGAGCATTCTAATATTATATGGATCTTTTGCTGCAAGCAGGCAGTGGCCTCCTAGTCTCTTAGGGCCACAATGTACTACACTGTCTAGGTTTAAGTCTGTGCATATATTAGTTGCTGCTGAGATTGTATACAGGATATGCCTCTAGGCTCTTTCATGCTTAATGATCACAGAACCCCAGTTCTATAGGGTTTATAGAAGGCTCATAGCTGGGATCCAATGTTGTTAGAAGGCGTGGTGTCTGAGATTGGTATGCTTTGTAATGTCATAACATTTTAAAGTGGTATTGACATATTTACATGTCCATTTTGGAGGTGTCATGGCAATGCAGGCATTTGGTTTATATCACAGGATATGGCCTTTATCACTGCCTCGCTATGGCTAATTTCATTCTATATAGGTGTTTCTTGGCCTAGTCTACATTCATCTTATGTAGGGAAGACAGAATCGGTGCCTATATCGCTCATTGAATTGGTACTCTACATGGATACTTGGTCATCTCTAGAAATTGGTGGTGCTGCTTGGAGGTTCACATTTTCCTTGTCCTTTGGAACGCAAAACTTGGCACCTATTGAGAGCATAAGAGGTGCTACATTGAGGTTTTACACTTGGCTTGTGGATATACACACCATCATATATGGAGAGTTAGCTATGAGATTTGTAATAGTTAGCATTTATCATTTTATTAGCCTTAGCTTAGTAGTTTTGAGATTTGGTTGGACAAATTGTAAACATTAGATCCTTATTTTTGTTTATTATACATATACTAGCCACTAGGCAACCTGCCTAGTGGTATATTTGCTATAAAAAAAAGACTACTAAACCTAAACTTTTATAACAAAAAAGATACTCGCAAACCTAATATATTAAAAAAAAAATACTCCTGAAGTGATTGGAATTCAATACTCTAAATCTAAATATAGTTTATACGAAGGACTCCAATTAAATAACATAATATTTTTAGATCAAAATCTTAAGTATTAGAAAAATAATTAAGTAATAATTTCTAAATATTAGAAAAATAATTAAATGACTATTCCTAAAATTTAGGAAATAAATTAAATTACTATTTTTTTCAATATGAAAGCTTGTTTTAAATGGTAAAAAAGACGATTAACATTTCATTAAGGACCTTCTTGATTTTAATATAAACCATGTACCCTATATCAATAAAAATAAAATTTTAAAATATACAAATAATACTCAACATAAAGTAACAAACTATATCCCATAAAAGTACTCAATCAGCTTAGTCAATATTTTCAACTTAGATTTATTTTAATTTTATATTTTATTTTCAATCTCACAAGTTATCATGCTTGCTTCTAAGTTTAGCAAGAGTTTTTTTTTTAAAATTCTTTTTGAAAAGCTATGTATTCATAAGTTTATTCCAGAAGAATTATAAATCGGTGCAGGTAAATGTCCATTTTTTCCTCGCGAGCAAAATGTGAATTGTTCTATTTACTTAATCAGTAAGAAACACTAGAGATATTATTTGTATCATATTAGAACTGAATAAATCACTATCAAAAAAGCAAAATCCAACCGCTACATTATGATTAATTTTCTCTTTCTTTGTTTTAGAAAGCTTTTTATCTTAGTCCAAACACATATTATGAATCCGTTTTATCTTTCATGGAAGCATGAGTCGGTGATTATAATGGTATTTACTTATAGTTGATGATTCTAAAACAACTACGTTAAAACTATCCTAAAAGGAGAAAAATATAAAATTAATGACAAAATCAAAATAAAAGTTTATTCTCTTAACTATTATTCCCACGTACGTATATACGGTCAAAACGTGTCAATGACATCTCATATTATATGTTCTACATATAGATTAAATAAAAAGAATATCACGAGAGATGATATCTATATACAAAAAAAATAAAAAAGAAGAAGTGATACGCATCATAAATAAGAACTTGGTACGATTATAATGTTGAACATACGTTCAGCATTCATAGTGTATTGGCTTTAAAACTGGTGTAACATAGGAGTGTACAAATCGAACCGAAAAACCGCACCAAACCGAAAAGTCAAATCAACCCGATTAAAAAATTTAACTTGGTTTGGTATTGAGTAAAAAAATCCGAACAAACCCGACATATAAATCTTTAATTTTTATATATACCTTTTAAGATTTTAAAAACCCGAACCAACCCGACATTAAGATTTTATATAGAATTTTCTTAAAAAAAATATCTATAAATATTTGGGATTCTCTTGTGAGATATAAATTTTAATAGAATATGAAGTGCTCCATATTTACTGACCTTAAATAATGGGTTATATGATCAATTTCTTATCAAGTGTTACTGAAATGCGTCTATCTCTTTGTTCTTCCATATTCATATCATATATTAAGATCTATTAAATTCTTATATCTTTTTCGAATGTGAAGTAATTATTAATATTTATGTATCATATTGATTTTTATGTTTAATTACTAAATTCGGTTAACCTGAAAGTGTACATCAACGAAAAATTATTGTCAGACGACTAAAAAAATAACAATTATGTGTTACTAATAGAATTCTCCCATAAGAATATTTTAATCGATAATATGTTTGTTAATTTTTTATATTTTTACTAAAAATATATTTACTTATCAAATATTTAAGAAAGTAAGATTGAAATAATATTTAAGTAACAAAAAACCCGAAAACCCAAAAAACTCGACAAAACCGAACTAATCCAAACCGATATAGTTAGTTTGGTTTGATTTTTATAAAAATCGAACCAACCCGGTCCATGTACACTCCGATCCTGAGTCATTAATTAGAAGTTTAGAACTACTATTCACGATGAATAAGTATTTTGTGATTACTATTCATGTTGAATAAGTATTTTTATATGATTGCTCTTTGCAATAATTTGTAATGTAGATCAATAAGATTAAGTAAAAGCACAAGAAATTAACAGGTTGGGACGTTTTAGAAATGCTAAATAATTATAGGTGTACATCGTAGAAAGAAATACAGAAAAAGAATATGAAATCCCTAAATATTAGAATTTCCTGTAACATTCAAATAAGGAAAATTTTAATATCAACCGGATGAAAGAGTTGTCCACTGACTTGATCACTAAATTGC